ATTTAATTTAAGAAAAATATAAAGCAACAAATTAAAAATTACCTTTACTACCACTTCATCATGTACAAAATCTATTCCAGGGTTAATAAAAGAGAATGAATCATCATCTATTATCAAGCCAACATTCACATCTGCTGTCATGTTTGATAAAGATATTCTGAAAATTGGTTTTATTTTTAAAAAATACATTTTTTTTATTAATGGATAAATTGATCTTAGCAAGATTTTCATGTAATATAAGTACAAAATGTAAGTGTTATTTAACTTCCTAAAGGAATGAGTTCATTATTTATTTATTTTTGTATACTTAAGGTAATATTGTGAAAATATAAGGAAATATTTAATTTTCATATATTAATAAATACCATATCCTTTTGTGTACAGACCTAAGTAAAAATAATTATTCATTGAATTAAATAATTTAAAGAGAAACAATGTAAAAATAAATGAACATTTGCAATGGAAATTATACTTACAAAACATGGCCTTCAGACAATACAGGTATTAAATTGTAAAGGTTTTCATTAAATGCGCTGTACAGGCCTTTTACATTGACTTCTCCTAGTGAACATCTTAAGCTAAGTGCCATTGACTTCAGATCAAGTGACAAGCTCTGCAGGTGGAATGTAGGTGGTTTTATCAATTCCAGTCTTGAGAGGTTTCTAATAATCATAACATGTTACTTTAATTAAAATGTAGTCTTGACAGAAATATTGTAATTTCTGCTGTGTGTGACAGATCAAAAAGTTGGCGGAATGGAGGAATTAGAGAGGCGAGGGGGGAGTTTTTGCAACAGTCAATACTTGGTAACTCAATACAACTATAAATACCAAGTTTCAGCCAGAACGGTTCATTAACCTTGAAGATATCACAGGATAAACAAGTAGATTGGGAAGTGAACACTAACTATGGAGAAAATTGAGTTTAATGCCTTGATTTAGTTCCTCACTAAGCGAGGATAAATGCCACATATTATTATGGAAGACAGGTCAGCTGTTTACGGGGACTCTTGCCATTGAAAACGATGATTAATAATTGGAATAACCTTTTCTAGCAAAGCAGATACTAGATTGAAGACGATCAGCACTCAGGCCGACTGACTGAGGCTTTTTTCTCAGACATTGTTCAAAAAGTTGAAAAACGTGTTTTTGAAAATGCTCGTTTGAAGAAAAAACAGATTGCAAAAATGACTGGAGTATCATCTGGGACATTTTTAAAAATACCTTATGGCCATCCTGGCATGTCTAAGGTCATTGCAAGATGGGTGTCAAGAATGCTAATACCGCTTCAGAAACAGCAGCGAGTCAAGTATTCATGTAAGTATTTGGGCCTGTGTAGTGACAACAAAGATAAAATTATGAACCAAATTATGCAAGGGGGTGAATTTTGGGTTTCTCATTATGGACCAGAGTCAAAGCAGGAGTTCATGCAGTGACATAAAAAGGCACAGTATCGCCTAAGAAATTCAAGTTGTTATAATCGGCTGGAATGATTATGGCTTCAGGTTTTGGGATTCAGGGGATTCTTTTGGGATCAATTATAAAGTTAAATGTGTCAATATCATGAGAAAACATTACGTAAGAGTACTAAAAAAAAATAATAGATATAATTAAAGAAAAAAGAAGCGGTAAGTGGTCTCGAGATATCCTTTGCACAACAATCCACCCATTTACAAGTCATGTTGCTATAGATTCCTTACACAACACTTTAAACCACCCTTCCTATAGTCCAGATTTAACCTCTTTCCCTGAAGCTATTTTTTCTTATTTGTCCCCAAATATGAAAAGGAGCTTCGGAGAAAGAAATTTACAGATGACGAAGAAGTGAAGTCTGCAATTTCTGTTTATTTTGAAGGCCTTTATAAAACATTTTTTATTTCAAAGATATAAATAATATTGAGTGGTCTGAAAAATATATTGGGGTTAATAGAGTATATATCAAAAAGGAAAAATAATTTTATGTTTAATTTCACCCCTTTTTCTTTTCATTGTTTTGAATCTCCCCTCGTAAATTTAACATCTTAAGCAGGAAAAATCTGAGAGAAATCTTAATGGACAGATTATAATTAGTTGATTCATATTAACATCGTTGGAAAACAAGGAAAGAGAATATTTTAATAAGTATTGTATAATTTCAACTTACACCTGAGTGTTTTTAGAAAAATATGAAGTGTCCTCAAGAACATCAGGCTTTAGTTGTTCACCATTTTTAGTCTGCTGTAAGACGACATTTGTGAAACTCTGGAACATTATACGTATTTATAAATGAAGTACAAATGTGTATTAATTTTAAAATTGAATCACTTGAGTATCATTTATAGATTAAGATCTATATTTTTTGTATTTTGATCTAAAATAACTTTAATTACAATGTTTACAAATGAATATTCTTACATAAATATATATTTACCCTTTTGATTACATCTTGTAAATTTGGTTGAACATTTGTTAAAAGGTCTAGCAATTCCTGCTCAATATCCACATTTTCTTCCTCAGACATATTGTTACAAACATTACCTCTTAATATTATATTGATATAAAAATTTAATTAAAATTTAATACATAGTTATTTAGAATTTGAAACATATTGTACAATATACATTGTACAGCAAAGCAAAGCAAAGCAAATAGAGATGGGTAACTCAGGAGAGATAGATACAAAAGATATGTATCAATCCGTTTCCATCAATCACTCTTTATATCCATCCGCATCCGAATGTATCACTGTATCAGTATATCTTTACAACTTATTCACTCAAGACATCTTTTAACTTTTTCTAACATCTGTGTCGCACATTGCGCACACTGCTTTCTATTATACCTCGGCTGGCACGGCCGATCGTTCCAGGAAGGTTTCGGAAAGTCCATAGTACAGACGTTTCTTTCGCCGGTCACTATTTAGAATGTTCTGTCGCACTTTGGCAAGACGGAGAGAGTGAGTTGTTTGACCATTATAAACTGTAATACGTTAGCACAAAAAGGTAAATTGATAACTTTATGCCTGGTGCATAGGGCTTAAAGTCATTAAGCGGTACGTTAACATTTAAGTATTATACTGGTTTGGTAAACAATGCAAACTAATTTCAGTTATAAAACCATAGTTTTTAAGAAAGTTTTATAATCGAAATTAATAGTCGTTTATATCCATAAAAAAGTAGAAAAAAGATTTGTGATTTACAAAATTAAACAAATATATCAGTTTGCTTCATTACTTCAACCTTAATCTCGGTTTGGGAACGAGAGTAATATTGTTTGCGTTAATTGCATCGAATAGAAAAATATTTGAAGTTGTTTTCTACACTTAGTAACTGTTTAATTTAAATGTAGGTAAATAAGACATTCAGTGTAAATAGTTTAAAGTGTTTTTGTTCTGTACGTACAGTTAGAGAATGTTTTATTTATTTTAAGTGTAAATAATTTTGCGCAGTTAGTATTTTATTAATAAAAAAAATGGGTTCATGAAAACTAAGCGTAGTGTGGAATCATTTTGAGGAAGTAGAACCAAAAAAAAGCAAAATGCCTTTATTGTGCGAACATGCTAAATGTACCCAATGGAAATTGTGGTAACCTTCCCCACAGTACCCCTCGTAGCTAAAAGACAGCCAACGCAGCAGGCATGTTTTCAAGAAGCCGAAACTATATAATATATATTTTCTACAAATTAATACAAACAATACCTACCCTACCTACGTTATTTACGTTAATCATTAATTTAATTATTATTTTAAACTAAAAATTTAAGTTAATTTCTCGAAATGTGCCTATTAATATTTATCAATCATAACAATAACAGCGCTCACTGTAAGTTTCACAGTACGCAAGCACCCGGGTTCGATCCCCGCCGGCACCAATGAAATTGTTAATTGCAATTTTAAGTGCTGATTTAACACGTGCACGACGATGAAGGAAAACATCGTGAGGAAACCTGCATGTCTGAGAAATAGGAAAACTTTAATTTTTTAATCATAACAAATAGATACCTAGAAAGAAACAGCCAAATATATCAGAATGATACACAATGTTACGACCAAACAAAATGCAAACAGCTCTATAGGTACTTATCTATCACTCTTACTGATAGGATTGAATTGAGCGAAGCGAGCCACGCTGAGTGAGCAACGCAACGTAATGCGATGCGTGTCTTGAAAGCGAGCTTGATCTACTGATACATAAGGATATAAAGATATAAAAGAGTGATACATATCCAAGTGATCAAAAGATACATATCAATCTTTTCTTTTAAGTGATACACATTGCCCATGTCTAAAAGCAAAGTGTAAACCAAAGAGTATAGTAATAGTGTAAACTGTAAAGTGTATACCATAGATTACTATAGACTAATGGGTGAGAGGAAGTAGCAAAGCGCATAATTTGTAGCGAAACCACTGTCGCCAAACTCACACATGCACAAGAAAGAAATGTGTATCAACAATTGTGTACCATTTCAATAATTTTCGCGTGATTGGTTATTTAAAAATAAAAGAGAAAGGCATTATGTTACTCACCATTTATTTGAGCATGAACAATAAGTCCTTAAGAATAGAGATTATATTCCTTTTAATCAACGAAGTTTTATAATTAAAGAGCAAACTTAGCTTCTTAACGTTAGATATCGCAATAATAAATTCACGCTATTAGAGACATAATGACAATAGGTATAACGTTGACATTGCCCTACCCGTGCCCTAACTAAACTGTACTGCACAGATTACTGTATACCAGTCTACGACAGATAGGACAGTGGTATGGTTGACGATTAGTTCCAAAAATATGCGCAAAAGCGCTAGTCGTAACGTCGCCTAGTGATGACCCACAACGTACTGTAAAAGTGTCGACGACCATACGGTATAGAACATCGATAGCATAGTGATGTTCCCTAGAAAATTCTTATAGGGTTAATGTATTATTAAATATTATTTGCAAGGTTCATTAAGTTTCTTTCGTTATGTTCATAGGATACGAATATAAAAAGAATTTAAAAATAAAACGACATTGGAGATTTTACTTTTTATAATTTTTTCCTCTTAACCTATGGGCTTTAAATTTGTCAAAGGCAATTTGTTGAGGTGCACACATCTGTCTCACAAGTTTTTCCTGTACACCCCCTTTTAAAATTTTATTTATTATATTGCACCAATTATGGACATGGGTGCGTATCATTAAATTAAGGAACCACTCCTTTACTTGAGTTTTATGATGTGTACACCCCAACCAATTTACATCAAATTTCTTAATTATTTCCATTTTTAAAAGTCTTTTTACACATTTTTTGAAAGCATACTTATTTAGGTAATCATGTATAAGGCCCGAGATATCCCTATATAACATTAAAAACTTCTTTGATGGATAAGTTAAATTCTTATGTTTTAAAAGAGTGTATTCTCGTTGTTTAATCCATGTATGAAATACATCTCTTTTTGTTTGGGTATAAGTCTCAGAGCATCTCCTACAGTTAAATTTTTTTGTCACTCTTCTGCACATATACCCTGCTGTATATGCAGAAGAGTGGACACGCAATCTTTCATTCACTGCATTTAGCGACTGGTTGCAACTGCTAATGTTTTGAGTCATTGTTATGGGTCCACTACATATATTTTCTTTATCTTCATCAAATGTTGATGAGGAACTCTTATTAACATCGGATGAGGATATGAGTTTCAAAAAGTCTACTACTGTGTCCCCTTTATCATCTTCACAGTTTGCATATATTGAATGTGGACCCATAACATTGGACATTAGCAGTGATTTAAATGCATTTGCAAAAGTATTTGCATCAGGATTGACGTTCCTGTAGTTGATGGCTCTGATCCTACCAAAAAAATTCTCAAGAGGATCCTGATTTACATTTCTAGGATAAAAATATTGTATCTCATATTTTTCGAACAACAGTTTAGACAATCTTTCAAAACTTTCTATTGTTGTAACCCATCCATTAAGAGAAGGAACTCGAACCTTATAGGTTTTGTTATTTTTGCAGGCTTTCTTGCTACTTTTATCAATGAATTGAATATTTTTTAATATTTGTTTTGATTCAGTCCAAAAATTATAGATTTGATGGGCGTTCGGCTTTATTGGACCACGCAGTTTGCCCCGGATAGTGCTCCCTCGAGATCCGTTCACACTATCAAAGAGCTTACCAATAAATTCTACAGCTTCACCTGTTGTGGCCATTGTCTCACTGACATTTTCACCCGACGTTGTAGTTTCTGAAACATTACACAAGTGTATATAAGTATTACACATAAACAAACAAACAAAAACAACAACAAAGTGTTTCTATCCTATCATTCTTGGTACATTAGTTCGAATCAAACACCTTATCAGTCTTAAAGGTTAGAATTGTAACTAAATTATTAAGAATCTAATTAAATATAAAGTGTTTCTTTTGTTGGAGACTAAATAAATAAATAAAACTGCAGTGAAGTGAGTGAATGATTAAGAGGGATATTATTTAAGACTAGCTGTTTATAACATCAGCTATCTGTCAGTGAAAGTCCTGTCCAAATCGGTCCAGATGTTTGCAGATTAGTGGGAACAAGCAGAAAGATGGACAAAAATTTGAAAATAGTTTTTTGTTATAATTACGGTATTAACTCGTATACATTTAGTAAAAAGGCGTTATTTCATCATAACAAACAGACACCTCAGTATGATTTTTTATATAGATTATAGATTACTTGATAATACATATTGATAACAAAGTAAAAACTTACTGAACAATGCAGTGTATTTAAGCATTCCACTGGTGGTTGCACTTAGAGTTTGGGCAGCTACACTAACTTTCATTTTCTTCATTTTTGCAGCGTAAACATGGTGCTCTGTTAGCTTTTTATGCATTCTAGTATGACCTAGTTGGCAATCAGAGTCAAATACATTTTCTATGTCCTTCCAAGTTGCAACTTTGCCTTTGAAAAGCATGTCTTTAGTAAGGAAGTTGTTTCTAAGGCCCTTAAGTAAGTGTGGGGGATCAAATACCACACTTAACTGTTGTCCTGATATCTCAATAGTTCCATCTGCAAACAAAAAAAAATTATGTTTAACAAGTTAATTTGATGGATTGATTACACATCCAATCTTACTAATTTATAAATGTCAAAGTTTAGATGTTTGCTATGCAATTGTAGTTTAACAGCTGAACACATTTAGATAAAAATTGGTACACATGGGGAGACCGTGCCTGGACTAAATACACAGATGGATATTTTGATATAATGATGAAAACTTTTTATCCCAGATCATTTCCAACTGTTATGTAGACAATGTGCACACAAAGATTATTTGTAAAATAAGTTTATCTACTCACCACTATATTCCTCATTTAAAATTCTTTTGCGTTCAGTCTCCATTTTTATTATATTTATGGCTGTTCTAAATGTAGAGCCCTGGTCACATACAATAGCCAAAGGTATCAAGTCGGACTCTAATACTTTAGTGACCACTTCCTTTAAAATTTTTACTACTGTAGCAGCTGCAGTTGTTCCCTCACAAAAATAGTAGCAAATAGGTTGCCTCCAGTTTGAGCACACTCCTTTTAGCATGAATACCAATGCATGATCACAAAACCTCAATTCTTTTTCAAACCCAAAATCTTTAAAGCCTCTTATCTCATCTTGGGACTCAACATAAGTGAGATGAGGTGTAAGAGCAACTTCATCAAACAAAATAGAGCACAGTTTCTTCTTTGTGTCCCATTTTTGTGTTCTGTGCTTTAGTACTCTAAAAATATTATCATTGAGCCCTACATTGAATATTATATTCTCAGCAAGACGGTTTAGTGTTCTTTTACTGGGCAAATTGAATATTTTTTGTAACAACCTATATCCCTTCGGGCTTTCCTTCATAAGGGTCAATGCTAAATGCTTTTCCCTGGTAGTGTATCTCATTGCCTTTCTCTTTCTATTTGCCATTTTTAACTGCATGAGTAGAAAATCTTGGGCTTGTTGCGACATTTTATCAAATTTTTTATTAAACAATTGGCTGCAGCTTAGAGTCTTAGCAGCATCCAATCTTTGCAAAAATGACTTCTGAACCTTGTGTTCAATGGCAAGTTTTCTCATTTTTCTTATAAAGCAACTACAGTTTGTGGTCAATTTATTAGCTGTAAATAATAATTACATTATTTAGTTTATAAACTGTTATAATAGGCTTTGACACAATACTTTTAGATTATATCTATGAATCAAAACAAATGTAAAGAATTATATCATGCCTTTTTGTGTAGAACCTTTTGTGACAATGTTTTAAGTACTATATTTTTCTGTAACTAATATAGCTATTACTGTGAGTTTTGCAAAAAGCTATTTAAAGTTTGTATTAACAAAATATATAATATATTTTACCTCCTCTCCTAGTTACAATTCTTTTTGGTGCTTTATTTTTTAACTGAGTTCCCTCCACACTGCAAATCAAATCTGTAAATAGAAGAAACATTCAATTCTAAGGGTGATTCAGGAATATAAGGTAACCTATAAAGGAACCTGAGCAACATTTTGTTTGTCATTACACTATTTCTTAATGCAATTTTTTTCAATATTGCTTTTTGATTTCGTTTTAGAAATCCCCAAAAATAAAAACAATCATAATAAGGACATCATAACCATAGTAAGATAAGAATAATACTGCTTTAAGAGACTGTGGTATGCATGACCAGTAGATGAAGTTGTATCAAACTTAAAAGTGTATGATTTTATGTGTAATTTAAAAATGTAATTTTGAAGATTTACTGACAATAAAGAAATATAGATACCTGTTGATTTTGCTTCCAATATTGATATGGAGTGGTTTGGGTCAATTTCCATGACTTCTGGCATTTGTGAGCCAGATGAAGTAGCATATGTGTATCCTAAAACATAGAATACAATTTTGTGTAAACCATTTTTTTTTTCACAATCATTAATTAAAACAAAGTAGGTAAACTATAAAGGACCTTACTAAAACATTATTAATTTATTAATTATTTGATACTTAAATATTTTTAAATTAGGTAAGTTTCTATAATCCTTATCTCCCAAGGAGTCAATCTGTATGTTATATGATGATTTTTTAGAGTTGTTGGTGATGGTATTTCACTTGATTCAAAGATATTAAATGTAATAAAATCTAAAATAAATCATATTCACTTTGAAAATATTTGTTCTGATACAGGTGGCTCAGGACTGTGCTTTGTGGTATTCCTTGGGGGTGGCCTATGTTCAGCAGTGGACTTGTGAAAGGCTGTAATGATGATGATGATGATGATAATGAAGTAAAATTACATTTATTTGTTTGAAAAAGTTGTTGGTAATTTTCAATTGTATTGTGTACACAAAAGTTCAACATGGGTTGATGAATTATAAAATTAAAAACCTTAATAAATAATCAAAGTTGTTAAAAATTATTACCAGCATTGAGAAATAGAGATGCAGGAGGACTTGTGGCTGTTCTTGAATATAAATGATCAACTGGATGTTCTAAAATGAGAAAAATCTATATCAGAAAAAAGAACATAAGTTATACCAAAGTATAAGTAAAATCGAAAAATTTGTATCATTACCTTGGACAACCCCTGCATCTTCCACAATTTCCTCTATGTCTTGCTTTTTACTGTAGTTATGGTCACATAAATGATCACCTGAAAATAACCAAATTAAATTTAATTAAATAATTTTAATAAAGAAATAACCATAAACAATAAGAATAACTATCAGAGCATATATTTGTTTTCTAGTAAAAATTCTTCATAATAAATGTTGTATGCCCCATTTTGTGTTCATTGGAAACTTAAATGTTCACTAGTATTGTTGAATAAGACTGGCAATTTACATAACGGCCAAGTGCTGAACCATGAAGTGATAGGAAATAGTTAAAGTATACAATTGCACTTTTATGGGGAAATTTTGAAGATAATTGCGGTTTTATTCCTAAAGAATCTTCCACCACCTATGAATATATACAGTCCATCAAAGTTTATATAAGAAGACGTCGAGACCTGGACAACTACAATAGGACCTGTAATCTTTGGGTACGACTTTCCATTTACTCCCATCGAGTTGCAGGTTGATACATATTTTTACAGAAAAGTTACACTATTATAAGCACACACACAAAGTTACAATATGCACAAGCGCGTAATTTTTGAGAAAAAAGTTATTGAAAATCAATTATTCTTACATTCTTTATGCCTAATCCTACAATAAAACTGACGCCATTTTTTTATTGTTATTGTCAGTATGGAATAGGGATCTTTAAAACCACTCTAGGGGTAGGACAAACTCGTACCAGGTGGAGTCGGGGTCAATCAATTCGGTTCTTTGACATAAGTTGAACCTAACCTATTTTATTTGTTATCTGCCCTAATTGGTACTGTTAAAATAAAACAAAATTCAATAAGAGATCATTTATTATGGTATCTTTCTTGTTTTTCATAAAATGGAATTATATTTACATTATAAATGCAAACATAAAAAATATAGATATTTTAGAAATCAATTTTTTATGAATCGATACATCAGCTTACAATTTGAATCTATTTAAAAATCGACCCTTTTCGGAAAGAATCGACATCTCTACTGACGACAATGACATTACAAAATGGCGTCAGTTTTATGGTAGGATTAGTTATAAACAATGCAAGAATAATTGACTTTGAACAACTTTTTTCTCAAAAATTACGCGTTTCCGCATGTTCTAACTTTGTGTGTGTGCTTATAATAGTGTAACTTTTCTGTAAAAATACGTATCAACCCGCAACTCTATGGGAGTAAATGGAAAGCTAAGCCAATCTTTGTCCTCTAACCTTTCTTTTAAGAAAGTGCATCAGATCTTCTTCTCTGATACACTTTCACGTGGTTCGCATCTATCTCGTTGTTCTCGAACTCAACATGGTGTGGATTGAGAGTTTCAGGATAGAACATTTATAGTGACTAATCCCTGTCTGATGCACCATTTTAATTGAAAAGGAAATGGCAGCGCTTTCTTGGTGTCAATCCCTCAACTGAAAGGGTCCAATCAGACAGGGATTAGTCTTTTATAGACATTCTATCCCAAAACTCTTATCACACCACGTTGGGTCCGGGATCAACGAGGTGGATGTGACCCCCGTGAAGGAGTGTCACAAGAAAGCGTCTGTTACCTCTTTCTAAAAAGATTAACATGCAGATTAACTTGCAGAGCTAATGCACTTACCGCTTAAAGGCACCCCATGCTCGATTTCTTCAGTAGAAAATAGACATGGATAACCATCTTTGAGACGATTACCCTTCTCATCCAGTTGGTATTTGTCGAAGTGTTTTTGACACACCCGTTTATTCACTAACTGATCTTTTGATAGACCAAGAAGTTCGGAATTCACTGGCACCAAAAACGACAGCCACAAAGCCCTAAGTTTATCGTCCTTTGGTAAATTATAAAGGCGATGAGTTTTGTTGGTTGAATTACAACCCACAACACAGCACTTGATAGGAGCCATGGCCGCAGACCAAAGCACCAGAGCACTGTAGTATAATTCGTATCGAGCAATGAACTTGGAATTATATCTCAACTCAAGCAATAAAGCGAGGAGAACATAACCCAACAGAACACGAGCTTTGACACGAATGACAGGAAATACAATGTGCTGTCGATTTGACAGACTGATTTGACAATCAGTCAAAATGGCTGCCAGAACATGGCTGCCGACAGTAGCGCAATGACGCATTTTTTGGAACTAAAGCTGTCGCAGGCCTGCTGTACTGCTACGCGAATGATGTTAGTGATGTAGTTACTCTGCCTGAACATGATCTGGCTTATATCGACATTCAGTATACGATTATTATCATGTATATGAATTGACTGAAGAAACTAAATTGAAAAAAACAACAATATATGATTAAATGAGTAAAATAGCAAAATTTAATGGAAATTGCTATAATGTACCACGTATATCCCTGTAATTTATATAGCCGGCATATAATTAATTGTATTTAATGAAAATTTATTTACAATAAGCTAAATTATCATTTTTGAAATGGAAACAAGGAGAATAATAAAAAACAATAATTTTGCAATTGTTTATTGTCATTGAAATAACACATATGTGTATAAAAATTATCGTGTTCACACTTTAATATAAAATTTTAGATGATAATGAATTCGGTTACCAATGTAGATCATGATATTAAGATCACTTTTATTTCAGCTTTTTTCAAAAGTCATGAGTACTACTAAACTACTTACTTATTTCTCTGGCTTAGCAACCCTAACAAATGTTCATTCGTAGGCTTCACCCTACAATTTCGTATATTTTCAAAGACATCCAGCATTTGCAAATTTTCATTAATATGTTAGTGAATGAACAGTATTGTGATAACATTTTATCGAAAACTTTGATGTCGGCGTAGTTACAACACTATCGGAGCTATTTTATTCAAAACGTATTTACAGTTGAACCTTATCTTAACGAAATAAGGTTGAATATTGCTTGTAATAAAGGCAATTTGACATTTTGTCTATGTTTAGTTGAGTTTCTATCCAAAAAATTTAAAAATTACACGTGCCTTTGGTACAAAACACCTCTATTCGAAATATTTTTATTTTTTATTTTCGTTTTTACACTCCTAAATTGCACAAAACAGCATATTTTCGCATATATCACATAAACAGCGACCCGTCAGCTCGCAACAATTTGAGTTTACGACTGACAATCTATCTATTACGCTCTACTGTCACTAATTGTGACACGCCTGCCCCGCCCACTTTGGGCTTCCTCTTGTTTTTTATATTCCGTGGTGTATTCATAATCATTTTTAAACAGTTCATTAGTTAAAAAGTGTTTTGTCACTTTCTAGCAACAAGTATCTCGCAAATGTCAGAATGAGACAAAACACTTTTTAACTAATGAACTGTTTAAAAATGATTATGAATACACCCGTTAGTATCTACGCGTAGAGAGAGTTATATAGTACATATTTATTTATCTATGGAGTTAGATCATTCTCTCTCTACGTATCTACGGAATATACCCGAATATACCTGGTATTTCCAGGCCATAAACTCCAAAAAAAAAAAATATACCTGGTATTTACTTTTTTAAACTAGCTTTACGGCTCTGGGTTCTAGCTCTTCTGATTCTATAATTCTTGTTTAGAGTTTAGACCATAGAGATGCTTCACAATATGCTGATGCGTCACATTGCGTAGTTTTTGGGAGATGTTGACGGCAACTTGAGCCAGCACACAGGTGGCGATAGTATCTCAAGGCGCCCAAGCAGACAGACACCTTATCTTGAGATTCACATCTCCATCGCAGCACTTGTTTCACCGTTGCCACTAATAGTGCACATGCGCAGATATTTAATATAAAAACTCGCACCTCTTTTACATATCAATATCCACTTCAAACCATTATTTAAACAATAATATAGGAGCATCAAACCACCGTCGGTCAAGTTCCCGCCAAAAACATCTTGGTATTTATTATATTAACTGATACCATAGATTACTATGGTACCATAAATAACTAAATATGTCTGGATCATAGGTTTAGAATATACCATAGACCAGGGATGTTGCGGATATTCGAATCCGCTTCAGCAAATGCGGAACATCCGCATTAATTCAGACATCTGCATCTGCATCCGCATAAATCAATGCGGATCTTTCGTGAGGATGCAGATGTGAGGCAAGACACGATACAATCATAAATTGAGAATGCACACGCTGGTGACTGAAATCACTAATTTTTAATTTAACTTAAATAAAAGTATTTTGTAATCAAATTTAAAAAATGACAAATTTACTCAACATTTTAATAATAATAAAAATAATATTATAATTATCATCTCCTATTTAATTGT